GGCGTGGTGGCAGGTGCCTGTAACCCCAATTACTCGGGAGACTAAGGCAGGAGAATTGCTTGAACCTGGGATGCGGAGATTGCAGTGAGCAGAGATCGCACCACAGAATTTCAGCCTAGGCAACACAGCAAGACTCCGTCTCAAAAAAAAAAAAGATACTCTGGAGTCAACACCTAGGAATTCCTCTAATCCCACTCACTTGGAATCTCCTTAATATTGTAAATAAGCTTCTGAAATGTTAAAGAATACCCTGTTTACCCTAACTATATCTTTTCATCTTATGAACTTCAAATATACTACCTCTCTCTCAATCTTTATTTTTTTAGACTTTTAGTTTACCTTAACACTAACCAATAATTTTAACACATTTCACAGTCGCCTATATTTATGAAAGAATAGAGGTAAGAATTATGCAAGGCCAATACTATTAAATAGCAAAATTTCAGAGATCACAAACACCAATACCTATATGCTTGGTTGGACAGAAGGCCCTGGTCAATGCCTATGCCCTCTGGATGTAGATGATTGCTAGCATTAGAAGGCAGAACTGGACTGTGATTGAAAACAAAAACAAAAAACTGGCTTGGTGCAGTGACTCATGCCTGTAATCCCATCACTTTGGGGGGCTGAGACAGGAGGATTGCTTGAGACTGGAAGTTGGAGACCAGCATAGGCAACTGTCTCTGTAAATTAGCTGGGCACAGTGGTGCACACCTGAAGTGTGCTACTCCAACTCAGGAGGCTGAGGCCCAGGGCCCAGGAGTTTGAGGCTGTAGTGAGCTATGATCATGCCACTGTGCTCCATGGTGGGCAACATAGTGAGAACCTGTCTCTTAAGACAGAAAGAAGAAAATTTGATAATTGATGAGATGAGTACTGAAACTTGGTCTAAATGCAGTAATACAACCTAGACAAGGAGCACAGGTTCTAATCCAGGTGTAATAATACTGATGAGAGCCAAAAAGCAAAATTTTATACAAGCCAGGTAATTTTTTTTTTTTTTTTTTGAGACAGTCTCCCTCTGTTGCCCAGGCTAAAGTGCAGTGGCGCAATCTCGGCTCACTGCAGCCTCCGCCTGCCAGGTTCAAGTGATTCTCCTGCCTCAGCTTCCCAAGTAGTTGGGATTACAGGTGCATGCCACTGCACCTGGCTAATTTTTCCATTTTTAGTAGAGACGGGGGTCTCACCTTGTTGGCCAGGCTGGTTTCAAACTCCTGGCCTCAGGTGATCCACCCCACCTCGGCCTCCCAAAAGTGCTGAGATTACAGGTGGGAGCCATCACACCCAGTTACGCCTGACTAATTTTTGTATTTTCAACATGGTTTCACCATGTTGACCACACTGGTCTCGAACTCCTGGCCTCAAGTGACCCACATGCCTCAGCCTCCCAAAGTGCTGGGATTACAGGTGTGAGCCACCACACCCGGCCTAAACTAGAGAATTTTTAAAAACTTTATTATGGAAGATAATGTTAGCCTCTCCAGTGACAACACAAAAAAAAGATTTAGAGGTGCCCAAATGAACTAAATATCTACTGCCTGATTTTCATAATAAAATCTCTTTGATCTTATGTTCACTTGCTTTCCTCTGAGACATACAAAGCATTTGGGGTCCGGGTGGTCCCCAAAGATACCAAAATCCACAATTGGAAGGAAATTCCATGCATGGATCAATGAGAGATACTGACTTTTAAAAACATAGCCTCTTTTAGGGGCGCTTATGGGGAAGAAGTTCCCAGATGTTCACACAGCTGCTCACAGCTGGAATGCTGGCACATGGACTAAGTTGTAAATCATAACTGGCAACTGAAAACAGTTTGCTACGTAGGGAGGGAAGGGGAGGCAAATGGAAGAAAAATGTTCAAGTTGCTGAAAAGGAGCCGGGGCGAAGAAAATGCTAAAATCATCATACAGGCAGTAATCTTAAATCAGGCATAATGCAAACTAACAAATTTCTTCTCCAGGGGTCTTAAAAAAGATACACAATCCCCTCCTGTACCGTTAAAACATACAATCACCTATCATCTCAGCTGTCTACCTGACAGCAGCCAGTACTGCTAAGAATGCTATCAGGGGCCCCAGATGAACATTATGATGTAAGGGACATGTGGGGGTTGTTTTCAAGGTTGGCAGCTTCAGAACCTGGCCTAAGAACAAAAACTCTCTGCACTGGCCAGTGCTTCTAAGCCAGATTATTCAGACAGCTCCTTTTTAAAAATGACACAGGCCAGGCGTGGTGGCTCATGCCTGTAATCACAGCACTTTGGGAGGCCGAGGCAGTTGGATCACCAGGTCAGGAGATTGAGACCATTCTGGCTAACATGGTGAAACCTCGTCTCTACTAAAAATACAAAAAATTAGCCAGGTGTGGTGGCATGTGCCTGCAGTCCCAGCTACTAAGAAGGCTGAAGCAGGAGAATCGC